CCAAACAATGTACCTCGGGCACACCACAAATCTAGGAAGAGAAGAACATGGGTCATGCAAGGCACTGAACGATTGCTACAAGCGAAAACGAGAGCCTGGCACAGGTGGAAGGTCTCTCTGAAGGACTCCAACCGTAGTTATTGAGAAACAGATGCAATGACAAAGTTCAAAGTGATCGGAGGCACTTTCAGATGAAGCTAGCTGTCAACATACGGGTAAACCCTGAGTATCTGTTTGGGTTCATGACAAAGGGAAAACCTATGAATCAGGGTGTTTGTGCCCTAAAAGTTTCAAATGGCAAAGATGTTACCGACCTAGAAATGTCTGAGATCTTCGACACCAACGTTACCAATCAATTAAACACAGTGCCTACACCTTCAGAGAACTACTTAAACATAGTACCAATTGATCGCCTAGGTAATATTCGACTTATTCCTGATCTGGTACTAAGAAAATTAAAATCTTTTCCCCCAGGAAAGTCACCAGGACATGAAAATATTCACCCCACAGTCTTGAAACAGTATGTAGAAGGCCTCAGTTCACCGATGTGTGACCTGTGCAGACATTCACACAAATTTCCAGCTGAATGGGAAGAAGTTATTATCTCTAAAATCTTCAAAGGAGGAGATAGGAACGACCTAGCCTGTTACTGACCAGTCACATTACTACCAATACTATCAAAGGTAATGGAAAGGCTGGTGAACGAACAGATGAGGGAGTACATGGATAAGGACAAAATACTCCATGAAGCTCAACACTGGTTTCGGGAAGGCAGGTCGTGCGCATCCAATCTACTCATAACATTGGACAGTTGGAGATCCTGCTGGGGACGAAAAGTACCAATGCACATAATATTTGTTGACTCCGTAAAAGTTTTCGACACAGTACCCCATACACTCCTAATTGCGAAGGTAAATAGAGTGCACACATATTGGCGAGTCTCAATATCGGGAGTTTCGCAGGGGACCATCTTAGGTCCACTTACCTTCTTGTTATTTATTAACGATGTGGTAGACAAAATTAACTCGGCGGCATTTATCTACGCAGACGATGCAAAGATCTGGAGGTCCATTAGAAGTGAAGAGAATTCATAAGAACCTTACATCTATTGAGGAATGAACAATGGAAAACGGGTTAAAAGTAAACCAGTCAAAATGCCACATTATGGATATTCTGCCCACATAGCATATACAACTTAGACCCTCAGTGGAAATCTGCTCCACACTGTCTTAGTTTAATAACCAGTGAAAGCCTAGACACCAGTTCGCACTACATAGGGGCCGCAACTAAGGCTAACGTATTGCTTCACTTTATGCGAAGAAAACTTGGTGCAATCACTTCAGAATTATTCTTTAGAATGTGCAAAACATACACACGCCAACACCCGGAAGTTCACAACGTCGTCTCTCTGTAAGAGACATAATCTCCGGGGCAGTGTGCAGTGACGAGTAACTAAATGGGCGATATGGTTGAAGAATAAATATTACGAATATAAACTTAAGCAATTGGGAGGTACAGGAAAATCCGAGGAGACCTGATAATGACGTACAACTTATTAAGCACACCAAACAATCCCGACGTGAGCATCTTATTGAAGCATCACCACCACGTCTCTGAAGGTAATCCTCGAAAAATTGCTCATCAGAGAGAAAATGCTCAGGTTCGTACACACTTTTCCTCACCAAGAGTCGTCGCAACTTGGAATGTTCACCCATTCGAGGTAACCATGGTCCCCTCAGTGAACAGTTTTAAGAAGAGGCTTGATAAACACTTACTCGCACACCGATTGTCGTACCTCTCGTTGACCAGCTGTGCCTGATGCATATCTTGAAACTTCCTAGTTGCTATTATTGCCATCTCCTCAGATCACTAACTTCATCTATCTCGCCTACTATCTGTGTTTCTTCCCCCTAGATAACACTCTGGTCCTCTCACACAATCTTCATCACCAATCAATAAACTAAATTATCTATTTAATTACTGAGTTCTGAAATCCTCTTATTACCATTAGATTTTTCTCATTAGCTTTCTCCATAAAGCAGCTAACTGATTTCCTGTCTGGTAACGTGCTAGCTTTTTGAATTCATAAACCATACTGCCCTGACACGAACGTACTCATTCAAATCGCGGGACACACAAATTCACAAACAACTACGAACTGACTAGAATTAGTGCAGTCAAGTGGCCAAACCACCATTCGTCGGACAGTGCCAATTACCTGGGCCCAATACAAATTAGAACATTATGTACATGTTAAGATGATAGTTTGTCCTTCATCGACTGAACGGGTTTGTAGTATCGAAAGAACATGAATTGAGGGCAAAGAAATCAACTGGTTCATACTAGCTCGTGAAAAAGATATTGGATATTGGATCATGTTGGTGTTGTTTCCACTCGAATGGCACGAAATACTTGATTGGAGGGATCTAGCGACCTCTTTCGGGTACTAAGGCCCAGAAAAGCAAACTGATTGAGGTAATACTACAACTGCTACTCCTAGGGTTTGATCAAATACTCTTAGCCGGAGATTTCAATACCCCATCTTCAAAATCTCAGCAATCAGAGTATAACTCCCACTGGTTGGTTCCAAAGACAACTTGGTACAGCCATTAGAAGCTATGGGCTAACTGAGCACGTACTCAGTGCCACTAGGTGGACTAAGGAAGGGAAGTCCTCAAACCTGGATCATTTGTTAACTAATAATGACCAGCTCCTGGTTGAGGATGTTCACGTCCGCGCACCAATAGGGAGTAGTGACCATGGCACAGTCTTGTGTAACTTGGTGATAAACGAAACACACACAGGACAAAAACGAGCTCTATCTTTGCTGAGAGAGGTGCTCCTACATGCCCCATGGCCACGGGAGTGGTGGAGACTGACAGTAGATGATCACTGGCAAGCAGTGAGAGATATCATCCAAAACGCTGTCGTAGACAGTGTACCTCAGTCACACCAAAAACGCGATAACAGAAGAACCTGGGTTAGGCGCTGCACTGAACGCTTGCTGCAGGCGAGAAGGAAAGCCTGGCACAAGTGGAATGTCTCCTTGAAGGATTCCGATCGCAGTTCTTACTTGGCATTGAGAAACAGATGCAATACCGAAGTCCGAAGCAACAGGAGACAATTCCAGACGAAGCTAGCCGCCAGAATAGAGGCAAACCCGAAACATCTGTTTAGGTTCATGTCCAAAAGAAAACCTAATAATCAAGGGTTGTGTTCTCTAAAAGGACCAAACGGGGAAGACCTCACCAACCTAGAGATGGCCGAGATCTTCAACCCCACCTTTGCTGATCAATTAAACCAGGCGCCTACATGTTCAGAGTATTACGGCAACCCAATACCAGCTGACGGCTTAGGGAACATCCGTATCACTCCTGACCTAGTATTAAGGAAACTAAAACCCTTACGCACAGGCAAGTCACCAGGTTGTGACAAAATCCGCCCTATAGTCTTGCAACAGTGTGCAGAAGTCCTCTGTTCACCGTTATGCAACCTGTTCAGGCATTCACTGGAGTCACACCAATTCCCAGCTGAATAGAAACAAGCTACTCTCTCTCCAATCTTCAAAGGAGGAGATAGGAAGGACCCAGCCTGTTACTGACCAGTCGCACTACTCCCAATATTATCAAACGTTATGGAAGGACTAGTGGACGAACAAATGAGGGAGTACATGGATAATAATAAAATACTCCATGAAGCTCAACACTGGTTTCGCAAAGACAGGTCGTGTGCATCTAATCTTCTCATCATATGGGACAGTTAGACAACCTGCTTGGACCGTAAAATACTGGTGCAAGTAATATTTCTCGACTATGCAAAAGCCTTTGACACAGTGCCCCACGCACACCTAATCAAAAGGTTGTGGAAATGGGCTTCACTGACCCACTCCTATCCTGGCTCATAAACTACCTTGAGAATAGAAAGTTTCGCACCAAGGTAAACAGAGTGCACATGAGTTGGAGAGTATCCACATCGGGAGTTTCCCAGGGGACCATCCTAGGCACACTCCTCTTCCTGATATTTATTAACGACCTGCTAGGCTCAGTTAGCTCACCGGCATCGACCTACGCAGACGATGCGAAGATCTGGAGGTCCATTAGAAGCGAATAGGAATTGACTGAGCTTCAAAAGGACCTTACATCTATTGAGAAATGGGCAGTGAAAAACGGTTTAAAACTCAACCAACTGATGTGCCACGTCATGCATTTCCTGCCTCATATGACGCAAACGACCTTTACCCTCAATGGAAGTCCGCTCACTAATGTCACCTCAGAGCGCGATCTTGGTTTAACAACCACAGAAAGCCTCCACACCAGTCCAAACTATGTAGTAGATGCAGCCAAGGCATCTTCACTTTATGCGAAGACAGATTGGTGCTATCAACCCGAAATTATTTTTTACCCTGTTTAAGACATACGCGCGCCCACACTTGGAGGTTCACAATGTCATCGCACCCCCTCTGCTTAAAAGAGACATTAATCTCTTGGATCGAGTGCAGAGACGAGCAACGAAATGGGTGATAGGGTTGAAAAATAAACCCTACGACGATAGACTCCAGCTCTTGGGATTATTCCCACTGAGCTACAGGAGAATCAGAGGTGATCTGATTATGGCATACACCATATTAAACACGCCAAACCATCCCAATGTGAGCATCTTACCGATGCATCACCACCACTCCCCTCGAGGCAATCTTCGAAAGATTGCACATCAAAGAGCAAATACTCAGATTCGTGCACACTTTTTCTAATTGCGAGTCGTCGCAACTTGGAATGCTCTCCCAGCCGAGGTAGTTACAGCCCCCTCAGTGGACTGCTTTAAGAAGAGACTTGATAAACACGTACTCACATATGGACTATCATCTCCCTCTTGGACAAGCTGTGCCTGATGCATATCTCGAGACCTGCTAGTTGTTATGATTGCTAGACCTCCATCCATTGGACATTACCGAACACCTGGAACCGCACCGAAAGAACAAGAATCGAGCGCGAAGAAATCAAATTGGTTTACACTAGCTCGTGAAAGAGATATTGGATATTGGGTATTGACCTTCAAGTACAAATACCCGCAGTTTCCACTATTGCAGCAACAGCTGTTTTATCTATTTATGGATTTTAGTTTATAAAGTGGTATTTAAACAGTTCAGTCACATGTGCGACAACAACTCAGATTTGAGGAATTTTGTTTTAGAGGTAAGGTTAGTTGGTGTTATCTTTTAATGATCATTAAAAAGAACGATTGTAACTTTGCTGTCGACAACGTTGATTTTAAAACTAAAGAGGTAACTAGTGGATTTCTACTAACTTTAACAGACAATTTTGGAGAAATGTCGTAAGATTTTAGAGGATCATACAGTTTGTGAACTTTATACTTGTCTCTGTTGCTTGCGAATATTGACGCGCGATGATATCCTCCGGAAGGAATTAACATCCGAGTTGTTTTTGTCCCGAATCTTCAAATATGCCTTTGAATACCACTCCAACCCTGAGTATAGTAAAATTACCCTAGAAGCTCTAAAGTCTCTTTCCAATATCGTATTTAAAGAGTCATGCGTCATAAACCAACTTAAGTCAGTCATACTATTTCATTTTAACTGTTTAGGTCTATGGGTTTCATAAAAACTGCATTGGAAAGTGTGAATATTCTCATTACGAATGGAGATAAGGAAAAGCTCCTGTTATGTCTTAAGCTTCTTTTTCTTGTTACCGCCCTGGATTCAGCTTCAAGGTATTGTAATATTTTAAATCACATAAAATCCAGACAAGATTTAATCAAATTCAACGCTCTACAAATGCTTTTGAAAGTCGTTAAGCTGAAAATATCAAAAACAATTGATTCAGATGTTGCAGCAGAAGCACTTAAAGTTGTATATAATATACTCTATTCAACTAGAGATGAAGATGTTACGACAGAGGTTTCAAAATATTCTCTTAATTTATGTGATAGTTAGGTGATGATATCCGAAACCTGGTAGTTATGTTGAGATGCATTTTACAAGATCCGATGTTGGACCAATCCAATAATTATGCTTTGGCCAGGTGAGCAGTTACGTTTTTTACGCATTGGATCATTAATCGACAAAAGTAGTCAGCTGTGATCTCTGTTTTAACTGGGAGTTTTGTTGGTTGAAATCACGACTAGAACTTCAGACCTCACCTAATCTGGTAGCTTGTTATGGTATTCATTTTCTGGTGATCTCTAAGCATTCATATATAAACATTGTAAAACGTGCAAATTGTTTCTTGAATCCCCAGTTATGCGAACAAAATGTCCTTGATGTTACACACATCCACAGTCCTTCAACGGAATCAATATGAAAATAGTGTGGTGTTATGTTTACCTTAAATTTTACTTGAAAATGTAGAACCAGGCTTCTTTATATCTTTTTGGAAGCATTCTCAATTACAGAAAGCCTTCTCTTACATTCAGAGTTCCAAAATTACTTTCTGGCCTAGGTTACTCTTTTGTTCTTAATTGTAAGCGTAAGCATGAATAATAGCTTTCCCTTGAATAGCCGTACTCTGTCCAATGGATTTATAATGAAACTACTATTACGTCGGGTATACGTTACAAGTCTTAAGTTACTGCATATGGCATCAGTAAATGAAATTCATCTTGCACGCTTGGAGAATGTTGCTAGTAAGTCTTTCGTTTTAACCCATCAAATATAGTTATCATGATTTTAACACTGGACACCTACTGAAAATATATTGCAGCTGCATATAATTATTCTGTATCAGTTTATTTAACTGTCTTTTTAAATAAAACTTATATTTCTCCTCGGAACTTTTTCAGTACACTTTTCTGACTTGTCATTTCAAATACTCAGATTAATTTATCTGATATTTTTGTCTGTGATGATTATGTACTCCTTAAGATCAGAGTTTGGGTTTAGTGACTTTTAACGTGGTAATTTACAAATGTGTTCGATTATTATCTCCGAAGGATTGCTAGAATATGCAAATGCATGTTGGAGTACGGATGGCAACTAATTGGTATCACTATTTTGGACACGTTCTACACATATCATTCCAGCGGCTTCCACATCGCGAACTATTTGCGGATACTGGGATAATGTAAAGAAAGCAGACGTAGAGGGGAGTCAGTTTATAACGCAGCTTCTCAGTATGAAAGATATCGATGTAGGCATGACATTTTAATTTCGATAATACCTCTCAGTTAAGGTTCTAGAGATTTCGAAACTCACTGGCTTGAGACTTCATAAGATATAGCTCAGAATAAAAGTCATTAGCGATCCTGTTGTAGTTTATTTGTACTCATCACTGAAACAAAATGAACTCCTCTCCTTTACCTCTACAATATTTTCGCCTCATTTTTATAGCGCATTTTCCGGTAACTTGCTGTACCAGAATTCATGTGCTTATCTAAATAATCAAAAAAGACTTACTCTGATGCTCAGTGAGTGGAAAGTCTCATCACTGAAGTAAACATTTCTCCTCATATGACCAATCGAGATAAGGTCATGTATGTCAAGTTATGAGCATTAAATTTCATTAGTCCTAGTGTTGTTGTTATTATCTTTTTTTCAGTCAGGTTATCAACGTATTGAACATCATTCCAAAACATTTATACAAATACCTTTTAGATGAGGCTTCTGGTGACCATGTCGTTGATAAATTGTCAAAAGGTTCAGCTTCAGTGGATGAAACAGATAAAATGTCTTCTATCGAGTTCTTAATAACCTTTCTCCACTCTCAACTTAAATTGGTACGTCTTTCTTCAGTTCTTTTTCTTTAAACTTTCCCCATAATTATTTAGTTGGTTTCTTTTTGAAGTGTATATATCCAAAAGTCTAGATAGAATAATTATTATGTAACTCTCTCATATTCATTTATAAATGAAAATCACTGCACAGTAAAGTCCTGTCGAGATTAGGAGATTACTATGTTAACTCTTTAGTCCTATCTAAGCGTTACGAAATAAATTACTCACGTTTAATGTAAGTTTCTTTTAATTTTTAGGATGCTAGTAAAGAATCCGAAACTGCTAGCGATTTACGAACTGATGAAAGAATTTGTCCTATCCTGAATTGTCTTACTCGAGCAAGTAAATCGAATCGCCAGATTAGGAAATTCTGCCGTTTAAAAGTGAGTTAAAATTTGAGCTTATGTAATAAACGGACATTTTTTTGACGTCCTTGATATGTATTCTTTGAATAAACAGCCTGATCAACAATAACTATAATTGAAGTTAACTTCACATTAACACCATTACGGTAATAGGGAAATGCATTAACTAAATTATAACAATAAACAACAGGACGGAGGCTGTGGATCCATCGACCACAAATCCTTTATATAATTATTTTAGTTTATTAATGTACATAGATTTCATAATCCACTACTACTGCTAATGATCACATAAAATTTATATGTATGCAACTAAATATTTTGGACTATTTTTACCGGTCGTATAATACAGTAATTTTTTGAATACGATATGAACTCTGGTGAACGTTTTTATAAGTTCAAGGTTTTTTATTCGCCTTAGTAACCATTTGGGATGTTTATATGTTCGATGGCTACACGTAGTTCACCTGAAATCCACAAATATTTTATGAAAGGGCACTTAAAGTTAGTGTTAAGCAAGCGAAGTTACTAAAACAACAATTTAAAAGATTAATCTTATTGATACAAAAAACTGCCATTCTCCTAAAAAAAGTACAATTTACATGTTACTTTCATAAATTTGAACTTATCACAGTTAAATGTAATACCAAATTAGTGAGTGAAACCCCTTAGTTAGTATACGAGTTTAATATATAAACAGATTTTCAGTCACTAAGACTCCTAATTGAAATAATTGGGAGAAGTATGCAAGGATCACTTGGTTCAAACAAGAAAGTTGGTTGCAGTATTTGCAGTTAGAAAATAGCCCAAACGTTTGGGCAACAAACTTCGTCTTATTTGTTTTCTGTAAGTAAAATCGATTTCAATTTATCCTGGCTTTCTACAACATAAATCAAATCTTTTTGAATTCATACTGGCAGATGTAAAATCTGCCATCAAATTGTCACAATTCGTATCTCTGTGGGAACAAAGAGTTAAAATGATGATACGGCAACCAAAGAAAACAGTAATGCAACAGAGCGCAAAAGAACCAAATGAAGTTCAGCACTTAAAAAAGCGTCAGCTATAACTAGGGTAGACTAGTCATTCGTGTCTGCTGGAGATGACGAACTTATCCCATTCTTACTTCGCCACTCAATAGGCTCAACGTTCCTACCAGACAGCAATACATCTATAAGTTTAAAAATGATGAGAGAATCTAATTAAAAACCGACCGTTGAAAGCCCCAGAGTTTATTAAGGAGCTTTTTAGTCTCTTACAAGCAGTTTATTGCACGCTAAAAGTTTTCTGATGATATATGGAGGAGGAGGAACCAGAAACATGGTCATATATGGGGACATATTCTGTCTCGATAGGCAAATAATCAATTTGTATCCAACAAATTAAAATTGTATGAAGTAACAACAACACAGAAAGCTTTGAAACCATCGAGCTGTCAAACCATATGAAAATCTAGCATATTTATCAGTCTTACTGAATTTACATTAACCAACTGACTTCCGTCTTATTCACTTAGGTACTACCTTACCTGGGTAAAGATGTTACACGTCTACCAGAAGATGGTGATAGCATCAGAAATTAGTAAGTATAAAAATATTGTATTTGTTCTAAATTTGACAGCCTTTGTCACTTACAACACTATTTTACAAATTTCAGGATTAAAGGCTTTATGCTTATAAAATACTCCATACATTTTTATCTGGACATACTAAGGTGTATTTTTTTTCAAAATGTGATCCCTGAATAGCAATGTTGATCAAAATGTATACATACAGAAATTAGTACTACATGGTGAATCATTTTGTAAAATATAGTTAGGATAGACTTAATCATCCAAATGGAGACAAGTTTCTATCCAATAGCATCACTTTGTAGATGCGCGTCGTTTACGAAATTCGCATATTAAACTCAATGGTCATTCTTTACGTGGAGGAGGCCAATTCACTACGTATCCTTAGCTGTAGATTATGTCCATCTTAATTATCTCAATTTGTTAGGAACTTAAGAATTAACTCAGTACTATTACCGAAATAAAATAGGGTCTGTGGAGATGTACTAGGCTTCTGTAGCTACTTAGCATTAAAAGTATGGTTTGTTGCTTCACTTTACAAATTATTTAACCAAAGATGTTGTGACTATACCAGATAGTGCTGAG